CATTTGCATTTCAAGTTATTTAAAAATATTGATGTGAATTGCTCCCAATGAAAGCAATGAATAGCTGAATAAAACCATAAAACATCCTTACAAGACGTGTCAGAAGCAATCTGATTTTCAGGATCTATGAGACAAAATCAGATCCAGTGTGACCTACTTTTCTGAAAATGAAACCATGTAATGAGGATGCCTAAGTAGGGATGTAGGTTCTGCATTTAGATATCTTCATTAAGGAGTTGGGTTTGAAATTCCATCATCCCCCTCTCAGTAAAGATTTTTACTGAAGACCTAGATTTGTACCAAACATTTACATGCCACGTAGAAAACACATGTATCCTATCTGTCTGTCACTGTGACTGGTGAAAGCTATTACTCAGTTCTGAATAATACATTTGTTTTTATCCCAGTCTTTAAACAAATCCTTTCGGAACATGGGTGTGAAACAGAAGCCGGTGACATTCTGCTTTCATAGCCACGGCACAGAAGATACCTGATCTATCTCCAGAAGGCATTTGAACTTTGTGTGTTTATAACATATCCAGTGTGAATTTCACAGCACAATTCATAGATTAGTTGTTATGCAGGATCAAAACTAGCCTGGATTCATATCTTGTTTTCTCCTCTCGCAATGAACAAAGTCCTCTTCTTTCTTTATCTGGTGTAAAGATGGAGAAACCCAGCAACGTTAAGCAAATTCCCATAGTGTCAGTGATACGGCCATTGAAATCACAAGGGTTAAGAGGCTTTACATGACACATTCTTCATCAGGGATAAGGTGCTGACCCAGACTTTATGCTTTCTGTCTGGAACCAGCATCCTTGCTTCCACACCTGCCAAATAAAGCTCGATCTTGCATTCGTCTCACTACATAATAAGCAAACAAGTTGGATTACTGGTCTAGATCTATAAAAGCAGTGAAGTGTAATGTGGTGATGGGAACTCTAGCTTGTCTGAGTTTGAGAGAAGATATGTAAATTGCCAGTCATTATCAATATTTTAGCCTGATATGACATGGTGAAAGCTGAATAAACTACTAGCAGCTGTGGCCTTGCCTTCTGCACTTATGATCTAGAATTAAGACTTCGCTGGAGAGTATTTGGTGGACGTCACTGTCTGATGGAAGAAGCTTATCACATGGATATTATTAATGCTCCATTAACAAGCACGCAATGTTAGCTGAAAAGAACAAAGCAATTTTCCCGAGAGAAGGCAAACAAGTTTAAAAGCTCCTGCCCCCTTTGCAGTAGAATAAATGTGACAAGCTTGCGATGAACACAAAAGACGGAGACATTAGCAACAAACGTTAAGCTATTAATAGTTTTCTGTTTTATTGGCTACGCTTTAATACAACACAGCACAATTCATTACATCTTCCCTAATACATCTCAAGCTGGATCCTGAAATGCTTTTCAGTGTTAAATAATACAATATATCAGACACTATAAATTACAGGAAATGGTCATGTGAAGGATATTGCATGGTGAATAATTTACAAAGACTAGAATAGAGCAAGAGTGGACCAGTGCTGGAGGAAAAAAAAAAAAAGAAAAAAAAGTGGAGAAGGTCTTACAAAAGGTCTGAAGAGTTAATGGAAGAGGCAGACTTGGGAAGCTGCTTCAGATGGCTTCAAAAGAAATTTCTAGAGCAGAAGGACACCCACAGTTGTGGAATGAACAATTTGTGACTGGGGTGGAAATGGTCTAATGAGAGGCTCAGGAACAGTCCAGGAACCTTTACAGCCATAAATGGCTACCTGGAACAAAATGTTGGCATGAGTAGTGGATTACTTTCTCAATGTCTCCAGGAAAGGCTAGACAAGAAGGGATCACAATTCTTCTCTAGTCCAGGAAGGCATCATTTTTTTACCTGGTCCTGGAGCAGGTTCCCAGCAGCCTGCCCAATAGCCCCCTCCAGCCTTGACTGAGAGTTTTACTGCCATATTATGCATCCTTGGGATCAAGGTTACACCATGGGTGAGCTTACGCTACCCTGAACTCCAGAGTTGCTGCTGTAATAAAGAGTCACAGGAACACTTCTGGATGAGCAATGAGCTGTTAGGGATGGCTGGTGTGCTGGCCTCTTGAACGTGAAGCCAGGGACTGACATGACATGTTTACTACCACTACCAGAGGAGCAATCTGGGATGCCATTGTGAAGTGTAATCAGTAATAAATGATTAATTAATGGCTTTTAAATGGGCTGAGTTCATTATGCAGTGGTGAGGACATGAACGGAGCAATTACTAAAAAATTCATATGTTCTTGGCCATAGAACTGATAAATACTCCAAAGTGCTCTTCGATTACGAAGAGGCAGGCAGTTCACTTGCACACTGCATTTCTGTTTTTAATTGCCAGTAAATGATGGCTGTGCCCATGTTTGTCAGGCTCCCTGAAAGCTCTTAGCTGCCATTTAGCACTTGTGGGCACACTGGCAGAGGATATTTTCCTGAGTGTTTGGAAACTCTGATTGAAATGCGTGACACATAGCCTCAGCTCTCTTCACCTCTCCCTCCCTGCCCCAGCCTCCCACCCCCGCTTTTGCAATGTCAGTCAACAGAGCACAGACTAGGAATTAGAAGATTTAGCTCATCTGCCATTTACGTGATGTCTGATCTTCAACGGATCACAGAGATGTCTATTTAAGAGCTGTTCCATTGCTAAAATGGAGGAAACGATGTAATCACCCACCTGCACAGCGTGCTTTGGTACCTAAGGATGAGGAGTGTCATCATTAATTTCTGTTTTGGAGAGCTCTGTAAACCTGAGGAGCCTTATTTGTGCAGTAGAGCGTTAAATCCTGTTTTTCCATAAAGTAAAAAGGAAGACAAAGTATAGCCAGTTGATTCAATTTGGGCCCCCCTGGCGCTGCAGTTGCAATTTTGCACCGTCAGAGAATTATACCTACTTCACTGCAATAACAGTAGAGGCATAGATTAGCAGCAAGGGCCATGATTTCCAGGTACAGATTGATAGTGAAACGTCTTTTAATACTGGTACTTGAAATTCACTGTGTACACTAAAGAGGAGGTGAGATAATTTCTCAGAAATTGCTTCTGCAAGGAACAGGGGTTCTTCCTGCGAGATGGTGCCAGCTGGGTTCATCAGAGGATGCGACAGGAGCCACTGCTCAGCTGGAATCTGGGAATCCTTTGCTCCCTGCAGCTTGCTATAGGCTGATCATCACAGCAGTCATGCTGGAGGCAGGGAACACAGACCTCTCTGGGCAGGGGAGGGAATTGAATCCCTCTCCCCAAGACAGCAAAAATATTGCTGCTTGAGCCATCAGGTGCCAGGGTATTCCGGGTGAGAGCTCTCTGCCCCTCCGGTGCAATATGTTCTGCTTCTGCATGACTGATTTAAATATTCCCTGTCCCAAAGTGGCTGTACAGGGCATGTGTGTGTAGAGAAAGAAGGCAGTTTCCAGTAGCTGCTCAGAACGGGCCTTATGAAATAAAGCTATGGCTGTAAGGGAATTCAGGGCAATTCAGGCTGGTGATTTGCAAAAACAGAGGTGTGCAGAGGTGAGGCTGAAAGCAAGTGTTGTGGGCTCTTTGAGAGTGGGAAAGAGGCCTCAGAGCTTTCAGCTGGCTGCTCTGGTGATGCCATGCTGGGCAGCCCAGATTTGTTGTCACACTCTCTAAGCTATCAGGCATTCAGTCCAGGCTCTGGACTCTGTTCAGCAGGAGGGAGAAGAATCCCGTTACAAGGGCTTCTTCCTCAGTTTGAGCAACGCTGCAGCTTTGCCACTGCTTCTCCAAAGGATCCAACTTTCTTGTTTTTCTGTCCATTGCTTTACCACTGGCATTTCTTCTCCTTACTTTGACATTTGGGATGAAGAACTTTTTCCCCCAAACCTTGCTTCAGTCCATATATTTCTGACTGTTCTGAAGAAGCAGCAATTTCCAAGACTTCTGGGCTGAGAAAAAAAACATTACCATGAAAAAATCCTAGGGTAAGAACAGACACAGATGCATAAGTAGCAGCAGCTGCAAGGGGTTATGAGCAATTGCTTGGGGCACTACTTGAGTTTTTTCTCACCACTTTTCTGTTGGAGGTCATCTTGCCCAGCTGAGACTCAGCATCGTGCTCCAGCAGGGCTCTTGCTGTGGGAATCTAGTTAAATAAACACTGTGTGTGACAAAGGAAACGGGTCCTGTAGGATTCAGGCTTACAAATGCCCGCCCTATGTTGAATCCCCATCAGAGATGATGTGGTATCAGCATGACAGTGGTGCTCGGGGTGCTCTGGCTTTGGCAGACTGGGCTGCCCAAGCCTCTGTGCAGCAGTGGACAAACTGTGGACACGTGCCATCCTGGCAGCAGCATAGACTGGGAGGAAAGCCAGAGGACAGCTGCTCTGCTTTTCCCTGGGGCTAGGGGACCCTGCATTGCACCGACTTACTGATGTGATGTACAGGATGGCCAGGGTGTCCTCATTGTTGTTACACCTGGGTGCTGGTCCCTGTGCTGTTCCATGTTGGGCTGTGCAAAGACATGGAGTGTCTGTGCTTTGCTTCTGACATTTGCAAGGGTTTTCTGTTTTCAAGCTCAAATTATTCTTGAACCAAAAACACAAGATTTTTGCTCATGAAGGTCTTTTTGTTGGCTGCACCATGAGTAGCAATATGGACTGTTTCCCTCTTTTTCAGTGTTCTCACAGCTTTGAGACTGTTCTGAGACCACTTCTCTGCAGCTACCACACTCCATGGCTGTATGGTGAGCCTTTTCCCACTGGGCTTTGAACCGTATTTGCATCACAACTGTGTGACAACTTGTCCCTTGCTCTGCTAGAAATACTTCTGGACAGGTTTGTATCATCCCTGTGCTAGTTGTGCTTGAAGGCACGGCTAGCAGCCCATGGACATAAACCTACATGCCTGGACAAGTCTTTCCAGCTCCCACTAAAGGGTCCATCCCATTAGCTGAATGGCAATTTACTGCACCTGCAGAGACTCAGTGAGGTTCAGAAAACCCCAGAGAAGAGAGCAGAGCTTCTTTTCCTAAGCATCTGGCACACATTTTCGGGCACAGGTGGCAGTCATCCACCTAAAGTGATATCCTGAGCTACTGCCTTTCAGCTGTGGCTATGGGGTCTCTTTCTCCCTGAAAGTCAAAGCATGAAGCAGAGCATGGTGTGGGCAGAGGACTATCCCCAGTGGGCTTTCAGAGATATTTGAAGTGAAATTCAGAGGAGTTACGTAGCCAACAAGTGGCAGGTAAAGATTCATGTGCTTGCTTCTGACTATAATAAGATCTATTGGAAAAAAGAGGGATATTTTAGACTCTTTGCCTTGCTGTCAACATTTTCGCTATGGGAAATTGTCTTGAAACTAACAGTAGGCTTAGTTCATTCCTTTGGGCTGTTGAATATTTTTCGCAAGTCTTGGAAGTATGCGTATGTAACAAAGAGCTCTGGGTTGCTTGCACAGTTATATGTTGCAAGTTTCAAGCATGTGGTTTTGGGGCTTTGGTTCTGCAGCTTTGGGCCCTCTCAGCCTGTTATGTTTAAGCACGTAAGAGAAACTTGTTTCTCTCTTTCTCTCTTTAAAAAACAAAAACAAAAAACAACTTTTTCTTTTGTGTCACGGTAATCTTGGAAAATAAGATTAAAACCTGTGGAAATGCTGAAAAGAACATTAAAAATGGGTCAGTTCAAAGTAGTTCAGTGTGAACAGAATTTCAAAATGTTTGTTAAGGGGTGTTTTCAAAATATTTGCCAAAGGGTGTTTGGTGTTGGCTTCGTTGTAATTCAAAGTAGGCTGCAGCTGCAGACTGAACGCAGAAGGATGTGCTGGAGCAGGCTTAGAGGATCTGGACATTTGGTATCAAATGTTGAGCTTGCTGCACTGAAGTTGTATGTCCTTGAAGAAATGGCTTTACTCCAGGATTTTAGTCTTTCCCCATGGTGATACCAGCATTTCTTCATAAAGAGCCTTGAAATCCTCATATAAATACTATTACTGAAGAGCAAAGTAGTGAAAGTGTTATATGTGTGTGCATTAATTACTGGAGGTGAGAGAAGTGTTTGAACACGTCAGATGGTCGGTGAATGTCAGATCCAACTTTTGAGGAAACAAATTTTAGTAGAGTGCTCTTTTGCCACGTCAAATTTCCCTCCCCTGGAAAGGTTTTGGTTTGAAAAAGAAAATTACCGGGCAGCTCCAAAGGAGTAAGTTGGTTCCCTGCTGGAAACAGCAGATGCCCAAGATACTACTGTTGCTGCTCTGTGCATATGCTGATTTCCCCAAAGGCACGGCCTGGGCCGCTCTTCTCTTTGCCTCTTTTGGAGGGAAAAAGACTCAGTTATTTTCATGCCAGATGCGCACGGTCATGCATGCTCAAGCCCTCACACTGCAAAGCTCTTATTCCCCTCCCATTTAAGCCTCCAATCTCTTTAGAATTCCTTCAGAAAAGATGCAGTCCCTCAAGGCCTAAAGACGTGCAGAGATGCCATAATTCCTCCAGTCCAGGACATACAATTTATTCTCATCACCTTGTCCATAACCTTCCCTTCATTTTCAGCTCAGTTTCAGCTCCCTCTCTTTCTTTTCCCCTCCCGTCTTCTCTCCTTCTGTCAGGCTTCAAAATGAGACACATATATTTAAAGGGGAAAATAAAAAGAAGAAAAAGTGGAGAGAAATATCTTTCCTGCTCCAAAATTTTCCTTCTAAACCCCATCTGGACTCCACCTAATGGGAGTGGGGCACTAGTCCAGAGGTCATGCCATGATCACCAAGATTTTGTCATTAATTTAAGTCTGGGTGAAGTCCAGAAAAATTTGGAAGCTGTTGTTTTTATTTGTTTATTTATTTTCCCAAGAGATAAGGTGGGAATGCAAGGAGGTTAGGGCAAGCAGGTCTCATTGATGCTCTGCTGATGCTGTGCTCTCAAAAAGCATTGGCTGCGGTTACGTGGTACCGTCATCTGGGGAATTGCATCTTTTCTTTACAGACAGTGTCCTTGACTTCCTTACTCCCCAGGTCACCAGTTACCAGCACAGGAAAATGCTTCTAGGCTGATCATATGGATCAGCGTGACTTGTTTTTATTTCTAAGAGCTTTCTTTCTGCAAGCTTGGTGTTGTTCATCCAGAATAGCTGGCTCCACTGTGAAAGCACATTTTTGTTGAAGATATCCTGTGGAGGGCTAATGGGATAGCTTAGAAAAGCAAGCAGAACCAAGGGTGTGGGAGTTATTTCTCTTCTCTTAAAACATTTACCTTTATTGCTGCTGCTACTGAAACGGCTGCCACCTTCCTCCCTCAGAGATGGTTCAGGCCTGTTGACTGCCATGCTGCTTAATGCCTTGCTTTAAGAGAGACCGTAAGACTGTAGACATGATACTTTTCTCCTACCAGTGCCCATCATGTGTGCCGGGTACTGGATATCCACAGGAAGCACAGAAGAGATGGCATTTAGCGAAACATCCCGTCTGTTCATTTTCCTGAGCATGTTTAATTTTTTTCCTAAACTCTCAGAAGAAGTTGAGGGAGCACCAGGAAATGAATACAGCTCTTCTGAGTGCTAGCATACCAGTTGCCATCTGTATTGCTCAATGACAGCTTCATCTTTTGCTGCCCTGAAGACAGGGAACAGTCCAGATCCACAGACTTCTTGTCATTGTGAAGAGCCCCACAACCACACTGATGGAAGTCTTTGGAGTGTTGGCTCTTACTCAGCACCACTGGAGCTAATGTATCAGAATATTGATTTATCAGAAATTAATCTCCATGTAGTACTATTTCTCCATTTGGAAAACAAAACATTTTAATGCATTTTTAAAATGGAAAAAAAAAAAGAAAAAAGTGATGTAGGAGTAAAAAGATCTTGGTTTTTCATCTCAGTGTACTACTTTTAAAACTTACTAGAATAGGCATTTATGAAACATGTTGCAGCTGAGATGAATGCAGTTATCAAAGCTAAAACTCACTTTTCCCTTTTCAGCCATGACTTCCTTAGTTCTTGTTTCAAAAGTGAGATCACCTCACTAGCATTTCCTTCCAAAACAGTTGAGCTAATCACACACACCCAGAGCTGCTGCACTTGGCACTGTGCAAGTCTGAGCATTCACCTGCCATTTCCCCCTTTCTCCATAATTTCCCTGAATCCCAGATACTTCATCCTAGAGTTCCATTGGAAAGAAAGCTTAATGTTATCTAGAAAAAAATAATGTAATAGCAAATAAACAGTCAACTCTGAAAATTCACCCTTTATCACATGTAAAAAAAAAAAAAAAAAGCTTCCTTATAAACCTCAGATTAATACGGTATAGCTGAAGCTTGCTCTACTAGATAGGGAAGAATTTTTTGTTTTCTCCTGTGCATTACTTTTGGTATTTATGAATTATCAGAATATTTCTGGTTGCATTGAACCTTACTCTTTTTCCCTTTTCTTTCCAACTGTAGCGTTTGGGCTTTATTATTGTTATTATTATTATGGTTTTGCTGCTCCTTTTACCAGGTTTATATCATCCAATTGCAAATGAAACATACAATAGATAGGAAATGAGAGTCTGAATATTTCCATTGTATTGCTTCACAACCTATTATATTAGCTGATGTAGATGAGTGGCTCCAATAAGGGACTGGAAGGCTAGGTATTACTGCCAGCTCTGCTGCTGGCTGGTTTCAGCAATTTCCTCTTTCTTAGTTCACTCATCAGTAAATACAGACTATAACACTCCTCATCACTGTCAAGCACTTTACTATCTCCTGATGAAAAAGGCTGTGTAAGACTATCATATAATCAAGAGGAAAGAAAGAAAGTGAGAGTGAAAGAGAAAGAAGCTGCAGTAGATTACAGAAGAGATGAAGCAGATTAATCCCACTCCACCTTGGATTCAGTATGTTTCAAGGGAAAGATAAGATCTGACTTTGTGCAGCCTGCATACATAAAAATTAAAAAATTCTTTCCACTGCAATAATCCTTCTTTGGATTTAGTACACTGATCTAGTGGTTAAGAATTCACTTTTCACTTCTCACAGTGGGAATTTGCTTGGTTCTTGTATTTGGTGTGGTTTGGATGCTGAATCCAGAGCATAATTATTTCACTTTTTGCTTGCCTTGCCTTGATTTGCACTCCTGTATTACTTCCTTCAAAAGCAGTACCACTGGAGGAAGAAGAGACCATTGGTGCAAATACTGAAGAAGAATAAATCTTTCCCTCATCTCCACATCTGTTGTCTGTTCCCTTCTCACACTATACAGTGCTTGTCTATCTGTGGAGTAGTCAGTAGGTGTTAGTAGCCCCTTGGCTTCCTGGACTATACAGGACTCGTGTTCCCTGATTCCTGCTGTTGTTCTCCTGCTGTCCACTAACCCTATAAACAGCTAGTTTCTGGCCAGGGGTTTGTGACAGCGTTTGCATTTTGCTTTACTACACGCTTCAACTCTCATGTGCAAGTGGCCAGGTAGAGTAATTTTTTTTTTTTTTTTATGAATACACCTATTTTCCTTCCGTTAGCCTCTGTACAACTGAAAATCTTGTCTATTGGTAAATGCTCTTCCAAGGGACACCACTGTCTGTACTGAGCAGCTGAATCATTAGCTTTCATGCAGCTGATGAGATGCTCTGCTGACTGTAACCTTATATTCTATTTTGTTCTCTGCTGCCTTGTGTGGAAAGTCCCAAGGCAGGATCAGTTACATGGGGAAGCTTGAGAAGGGAAGGAGGAGGAAGTTACTTGTATTCTATGGATATTATTCATTCTGTTCAATTCCTCTCTTGCCTCCCCTCTCTGTTTCCACCAGCAAAGGCCACACAAGCTGTTATGGGGAGTCATTGTCCTTCACTTTTATTAAGATATTAAAACAATAATGAAGCTGTCTAGTGAAAATGCAGAGAGCTGAATAAATGATTTACGAAGTGCTTGGCATAACAACTTGTGCTGCCTGAGATGAATCAGTTTTTTCAAATAACTGTCGAGGAATCTTCTCCTTCCTCTCTGCCCCTCACCTGGCAAAATGCCAGCCCAGGGTCTTTGTCATCATCTTCTGCAAGGCAGAGCAAGAGCAATTCTAAGCTTGTCTGTACCAGGTGATGGAGGATGGCACAGAGAACCAGTATCCTGGCCCTGTGGGAGCAGTGCTGCTCCCCTGTCTCCTTGGTCCAGCTGTGAGACAAGGCCCGTGGCCTCAGCTGACGTGCTATGCTGCTGCTGCTGCCTTGGGCATCACCTACACTGCATGCTGCACCACGCCCTTAGGGCTTCCTGCAGC